CCAGTGAGGAGTCGACATCAAAACGGGCACCTACCAAACACTGTTACAGAAAAATGGAGCTAATCTCCTGAGGCAGCAGCCCAAGCTTCCTGTAGAAGCTGCCGATATACTTTGGGAAAAGCCCATAGGGGCAGTAGGCACCAATTATGGTCCTGAGCGAAGTGTACAGGGCGTACCGCCCATTCATGAGGCCATTCAAAGGGCGTAACGTTCAGTGCAGGCACAGCGAATGAAATTGTAACTGTACACAAAAGACCCAGGCCCTTCAGTAGCTGGCAAGGCAGGAGCTCAGAAGGCCGCAGCCGGCACCGCTAGCCCCGAAGACGCAGAGAATAACCAGTCGGTTAACCTCGATAGCCTGCTGGACTACTTTGAGGCCAACTTCCCACCAGGACACGAGCGTGAGAGAAGTGCACTGTCAGACCCCGTAAGGCCCTCTGAAAGAACCCAAGCAGATTTCTCCCTCACACAAATCTCTCGCTCTGGGGGCGTTTGAACACCTTGACAGTAGGGGAATGGCAGGACTGCCTTCTCACCGAATTTTCCTCACCACACTTGCCACAGATCCAGTGAGTGCTCTCCTGGAACACGTTGCGGTAATTGGCTTCTTAGTGAGCTTTGCGTGCTGGGTCCCCGCCCTCGCCATAGACTCTCTGGACCCGGGCCTGTAGCCTCGAAATTTGTCCGGAGGTGGTCGGGGTGGCCCCGCAGCAAGGGCAGCTTGGGCCCGGATATACGAGCGGGGGGGGTTGCGGTTGCTGCTTGAAGAGGAGCGGGGCCCGAGTCCCCGTCACCGGTAGGGCCATAGTAGCCCCAACAGAGGTCCCGAAGTACCGGTCCAAGCTAGGCCCCAGAGATGTGGATTGTCGGGCCCGTTTTTCTTTAACGGATGTTTCATCGTTGATGAGCACACGCCCGAATCCCTCAGGATGTATTGCACCGTTACCGCAGCCCTTTCGGCCCTGGGTATAACGAAGCCCACGATCTTCAACTTCTCTACCAAGCTTTGCAATGGCGGCCGAACCGCCAGCGCCGTGGACCGATGGAGGATGAAAGATTGGTTGCTAGAGGGCAACAACGCGTGGGAGATATTGGGGGCCCCCCCCGGCTCGGATCTCGCCGATATCCTCCGTGCGTTTCGGCGCTTGTCCATCCAATACCATCCGGACAAGCAGCGCCACAAGACTGACAATGAAAAGGCCGAATCGGCATAAAGGTAAACATGAACTGCATCAGATTCCAGTCTCCAAACCTCTTGACAAGCTCCATATTCCCCGTGGCGGCAAATAGGGCCGTGGCTCCCCCTTTACGAAGACTGTGAGAGCCAACAAGTTCCGGGGGCTACCCCAATGCGGTGCTACACACGCGTAGCAGGGATGAGACATCCTCACGAGTAGTTCCTTTACTCCTAGAAGCCAATACTGGAAGTGCGGGGTCATTGAGCCAGTGGGGGTTCAGGCGAGCATGCTTTTTTAATGTCAGGATGGGGCAAATTGAACAGCCGCTCAAGTGACAAGTGATGGGTTCGAACCTGGAGAACTGGTCATTCTTTGCCTCCCGAAGCTGAAGTACAATCGTAGTCGCGTCCCAAAGGCTACATCGGGTATCTCCCTCCTTGAAGAACTCAAGATCCCGACCCCGGAGCACCTGGGAGGTGCTTTCAACAACTCCTGAGAAGGTAAACACTTGGAGGCCCTGAGCATGAAAAACCAGCCAAGGCACACGGCGGAGCAGAGCGCCGCTGCTTCGGGACGGTCACGGCCACCGTTTTGAAGGTAGGAGTGGAGCCAGCGATGTCACGGGGATTTTGTGTACCTGAGGGCCATCCCAACGGTGCAACCATTGAAGTGCAGCCCAAAGCCTGACCCTACCTTGAGGGGGTCCATAAATTTAGAGGCTATATGAGCGTAACGTATCCCTGAAAGCCTCTGCCTGATGCCTTGGGCGGTACGCCCCATTCGCTGGCGGAGGAAGACCACAAAACGAATGAGCCACTGCTCATCCTCTAGGCGCTCTGCTCTAGTCTCTTCACTGAGGAAAGGATCACGCCCAGACGAGGCAAGGAATAATTGCCACTGCTTCCAGCCGGCTCCGTAGGACCTTCTTGTTGAATCGGCGAGCTTTGACAGGATAGCTTCCTGAGCAGTGTCGTCGAGGTCGGAAAGGCCTCTGTTCTTTTCGAATTTGGGCATGCGCTGGGCAAAGAACTTGTCCCGCTCATCCCCCAGGAAACGGGGGACAACCAAGTGTCTTCCCAAGCGGAAGGGAGAGGGGTGCGGGGCTGCCAGGAAGCCGGGAAAAAGTCCAGCTTTTTGTTGGGGTTGGCTTTATTTCGATGCCACGCTCTGAGCCACACCTGCGCTCGACCGTGTCCCAGCGACCCAATTGAGACTCAATTGCCCTTTTTCACACGCTTCCTTTCTTTTCCTCCCGGATCTTGTGAAAAGGAAGCCCAGAACTTGGTCGATGTCCCTTGGGCGCATTAGAAGCTTCGGAAGCATACGAACCAAACTTGGTCAAGGCTATGGCGGCGCTATCAAGCCACAAGGGGACACAAGTCCCGATTACCCAAACCTGGTGCAGCCACACCCGCATTGGCGCGGGGATGTCCATTCCAGGGGACGCAAGCTGGCGCGCCTCTTGCCCTAACGGGTCTTCCCCTGCAAGGACCATGGCTGAATGAGTGGCTCCGTCAAGGAGAGTCTCCCAAAACTCGAGGCATTCCACTCGGGTCCAACCCTTTGCTGCCATGCTGTCCTTCACCTCCCGAGTGGGGCCCGGCTAATCCAATCTGCCATCTCATTGTGGTAGGTACGAATATACACTGAGTGGCAAGTAAAGTTGTGCTCGGCTTCAAGACGCTGAACCAAACAAATCATCAACCGGGCAAAGGGGTTCCGAGGCCGTCTTTTTGTTAGCCAGGATCGCACGTTGTCGTTGTCCGTGACATACAAAACCAGATCGCCCTTCCAGTTGGAAGCCTCCCGGCCAGCGAAAGCCACGAAAGCCATAAGCTCAACAATGGAGATGATCTCCCCGTGATCCGAACCCGGGAGCTTCGCAGCAAGTTGTGCGAGGTACGGAGAGGCATATTCGGACGCAAACTTTCGGCCTTTCCAGTCAAGGCTTCCAAAGCGCTCCAGAGTGGCGTCTCCTCCAAGGAGTCTGAGACGATCTGAAGCACCCGGCATGGCCAGCCTCTCCAGGAACGGCAAGAGCTTATCAAAGGAGGCGCGGAAGCTAGCGCTCAAGGGTCTCTCCAACTGCAGGCGAATGAAATCCTCCCAAGCGCACTCGTGCATCGAAGGGTCGGCTCCTCCGGAAGAATCTGGGTCCGGGGCGGAGCGCCCACATTGCCCCTTCATGGGGCGGTAGAGCGCAGGGAGCCTGGGGAGAAGTTCGGGACAAACCAACGACCAATATTGTGCACATCCGGCCACCTCTTGAAGAAGACGGAGTTGCACCTCCTTGTGCCCCCGACGGAGGGCCGGCTCGGCCAGTAGATACTTTGCTTTCGTGCGCTTGGGCTCGGGCAAGCTGATGACACAGTTTGAGCGAAACTGTTTTTGCAAAGCGTGATTGGATGTGGAATACTTCGTGAGTCGCACCTTTGTTCTGGTATTGGAGAACAACGTGGATAGATACAGAGGCTGTGATTGATGCGGAGCACGAAAATCATTACCGACCAGCTGACAAGCAAACAATGTGGGTGATCATCTTCTTTCACTTCATCTTTGCTACTGCGGAGGTGCCGGTGCGAGCGATGGTGGACCGGGCTACCACACTAATCCGTACGCAGATCCGGCCATTTACTGCTGCAACGCATAACATGCTCGATCGCTTTAAGTCGACCGCTTGGAGGTTCTGAAAGACACCGCTCAGTTATCTACTCTGGCGCTGCCGGCGGGGATAGGGGTACCCGGGAGGCTAAGATGTTTGCGACTTGAGGCTGGCAATGCTGCACTTTGTAACATTGCGAACAAGCAGGCCCTCAATGCACTGCAATGCAAAGCGTGGACCTTTTAACGCAGTTTATCGGCTGATGTTCGTCCAGGTTGGGGAGGAGATCTTTGCAAAGATGATGCTTCAATGGTTAGGCGCCGAATCAGAGGCAAATCAAAGCGCCCTGCTCATTGAACTTCGCTGGTGAAATGTTTCAAAGAGAGACTGCGAGTGTGGACTCTACACAATGCAGCCTTAGCTGCTGCAACTTTCACTGAGGCGGAACAGCAGGCCCTCGATGCTCTTCTTCGTTGTCAGAAGTTGCGTGAGCAGAAGGCTGCAAAAGATGCCAGTCTGCACTTGTTTGAGGCCTCCGCCACTTTACAGACCACCAAACTTCGTTGCCAACGAGCCACAAATTGGTTAAAAAATCGCATCAAGTGTGGTTCCTCATACTTGGATTGGCGCACTGCGCGCAATGAATGCCTCAGGGAGTCCAAGGAGGGCGTCGATGTTAACCGTCGCAATGTGGCCGAGAACGTAAAGCAAGGCAATCAGAAAATCCGGGAGCACAATTTCAGATGGTGGAGTTCGGTTGAAACGCATCATGTCTTCTACGAGGTCGCGCCTAACACCTTCAACACTCCGCATGGGCGCCAACAGAGCCGCAAACCATTTGCGGCTGGCAAAATATGGCTCTTTTCAAGTACCAGGTGTCAAGGTCAAAAGTTTGAAAATGAGATGAGGACAGCGTACTCCCCCAGGCTCCTCAGCTCAGAGAATGTTGCCTCCGTGGCTTAGGCGCTGCTGGTCCGGAGGTTGAACTGCAGAGTTCGGGTACTACCTCCTCAACTGGCGATACACATTCAATCCCAATAAATTTGTTATTGATGATCGGAGGGGGATAGTATTACACGCATCCATATCCAAATACTCCTTATTTTATCATTTTGTGTTTGTTGATTCTTCGACTCTTCTTTATGAGTTTTGGTCCTTTATCATCCAAGACCCTGAACGACCCCACCGCGCAGCTGTGTTTCGCACACGCATCTGCGGGATTATGGCTGTGCATCAGTGTGGTTGAAGACCGGGAAATTCATGCCCATCCGATGCAGTTCTGACCTGGCTCCAGGACAGTATCTATCCACGCAGCAGCTGGCTAATAATGCGTCCATAACCCCCTCCATGCAAGCAAATAAATAAGTTGATTGGTTGGATCTGATCCAGCACCACAAGCTCCTCTGATCAAACGTTTGCTTTTAAAACAGTTTTGCAGGTAGTGTCGCTCGGACGAAGCAGCAAGCGTTTCTGGGATTAAAGTTTCGAGGCTTGGACAAGTTTAAACTGACATGCGAAGCGGCGGACAATTTGAAGGCCAACCGAGGCTCTCAAAGCGGCATGGTGAGTCCAAAGAGATGGAGGGAGGTATTCTCTCGACTTCCCTTTCTTGCTACAATGGATTCATTGATTTTTTCAACACCGCCAAATGTGCTAGCGCCTATGTGAGGGACACACGTGCAGCTATCGATTGCTGATATCAAAGCTGATCCCCAAAGGATTGTGGTCGCATCAGATTGATCGATACCCGGGCGCTGACCTAACAGAATCCCGATTATTATTCAACAGATGCTAGAGTTGACATGCTGCTTACAGCAGCGCAACACGACCAATTGAGAAGCCGACCGGCTGACAGACCCGGCAGACAACATCAGAGCATGATAGGTTGCTAGACTTCACAGACCGACACACCGCTAGACAAAGAGACCCAGAAAACGCAGAGCTCCTGCCTTAAGCCCTCGACCTGCATGCCCAAAGGATAAAGGCGCACCACGCAATCAAACTGAACGTGACGGCTCACGAAAATGCATCAGCTTCAACCAGCCTGATAAAATCTCGGCGTGTGGATCCCGCTTGCGTCAGAGGCTGAAAACCGAGTACGGTGCCCCTACAAATACAGAACCCAAAGCGCTTCCTCACTCCAACATACCCTGATTGCCTGGAACACTTGTCCCACGCAAGTTAGATTTCATTTCCGCAGCATTCGCTGCTGAGAAGGCAAAACTGCGAAAGGTGTTCATCAAAAGGCTTTGTCCCTGCCATGCAGTTGATGTAACTACTTGAGCAGTCAATTAATTGCAATGATCCGCAAAAAAAATAATTCATGAGACATGGGTGGACAATCACATTTCAGGTGTAAGTGCAGCACGCATCGGACCCGTAGGAGAATGGCCTGTCTAAATGCAATGGCTGAAAGGAATGCCAAGGAATTGGCTCAGACCTGTTCTTGTGCCAAATAAAAGTGTCGCAGCCTGAAGTGAACACAATTCATGGGGTTTATGCAAGTTCTGGCCTCTGCCGCTGGGCGACTTGATGTGTCTTGCCTGGAGTTCATGAACATGAGCTGAGACTTATCAACTTCTTGAATCCAAGACAAAATAAGACTGAGAGCTACTGCAGGAACTCACACAAGGCCAGGGTAAGACTGGAACGTCGGATGCCATTTGTTGCATCAATGTCCTGCGTTTGGCGATTTCAGCTGCTGGCTGCAGTGGGCCTGTGATGCTAATATGCGTCGGCATAGTGTCTTCAGCTGTCTTCAACCCAAAGTCCCTGAACATGATGCTTCGTCATTGTTTGGCCAGCATGCTTTGCGGAAAAATGTGCAAGTAGGTTGGTTCAAGCAAGAGATTGATCCTGTTACCATAGATCGTGAGACATGCTCTGGAGCAGTGTGGTCCTTGGTGAGGCATGTTTCATCACACACAAAGGTGATGCCGTCACCCTCAGGCATTCCAAGTGGAAGCAACCAAACAGCAACCTCGGCGACAATGGTTTCAGGTTTTGCCCATGATGATGTAAACACTAATGACATAACAACAATACTGGCAACAACAGAGATCGTACTGCTACGAATAAGACTGTATGAGCCAGAATGTGTTCCTTGACAATGTACAATGCCATGCCATGGCGCCGCTCTTGGAAGTGAGGTGAGGATGGGGTTTCCTCAAAGGGGTAATATAGAGATATCTAAGGTTACACAGAGCAGTGGCATCTAATACTTAGCATCATAGAGAATCGAATGGAACAGAACATGGAAAATGAAATGGAACATGGATTTGTCAGCTATGCCCGAAGCAGTGAGTGCAAATGAGACCAGCAAGGCAAGCCCTCCACTGACACTTCAGACCCTGGCGCTGTTGCCGAGCACAGCCCGGAAATTGCCATAGAGTCCCAAGTTGTACCTGTAGCTGTGATATTTACACTCAACACTCAGGCTGAATTTTCACAGGCAGGGCAATTTTTGAGCTGAAGCGGCGAGTATGCACCACAACAAACTATAGGCCCTCTATACCCTTGAGGAGATATGCACATACTTCAATAACTGGACAGCATAGGTTTAGGAGAGCTGAGGCCCGAACACAGACTTCATGCTGCGTTCAGCAGGCTGCCCATCCTTTCCACGACTCGGAAACTTTTTGTAATACTATCACGCAATGACTTGGTCACTATCAGCATATCAAAGGTGCAACTGGGTTTCCCTGATGCGTGTTGCATTTTGGATGCCGGTTACAGCATGGATCTGGATATGGCAGTCTCTGTCATGGTGTGAGATTGACACATCAAGGCATTATCATCTTAGGAAAGAGCACGTTAAGGGTTGACCAGTTAAGGAAACAACGGACTGTGGAGCAGCAAAAAAGGCTTCGCAAGGCCAAACCATGCGGATGCTGACAACTGCCATGAGGAAGCCCTCACCATATTAAAACTTCTCCCCGGCCTCAATTTCTGAATATGCCTGCATGGCATATCCAACAGGTACAGGCACTTGTGGAATTTACACAGCAAGGGTGGTAGCGCGGTTGCAGCCTGCGCTTGCTGCTTCACGCCGTGAGCTTTGAATGACGCTTGGCTGCAAAACTTGTACCGTTTCCAATTTGGAACAGGCATGTTTTCTTACTTGCCACACCGCCTTCCTGGCTCATCAAAAGTCAAAAACTTGGGGTTTTGAAAAAGCAAGGGCCCCTCTCTGGGGATTCTGGAACAAGGAGTCTGGTGTATTGGGGGTTACGGTGTGGCCCATATTCATGGACACCCCTGCAACTGTGACCCAGGGAGCCAACCCAGGCCAACCTTCGGCAGCGACTTCTCACAGAACTCGATGGTTGTCAAACCTCTTGAAATGAGCCTCACTACTGGACAGCTTGATTCTCAATTTACTTGCAGAAGTCGTGTTCCTAGGCAGGCATGTGCCCTGGAAACTGCGGGTGTTTGACTCCAGTTGCGCTGCTTTTCATGAGGCACAGGCCATAGGTGCATAGCCAGGAAAGCGCTAACCTTTGCAAACAGCACTCGAGAGATTTCCTTCTGAGAGCTTGCTGCTGCAGTTGATTTTGGTTGAGGCGGCGGCTAGGAAGGCCAAGATGAACCTGACATTTCCCATCGATAGGCGTAAAAGTGATAGTAGCATCATGGTAATACTAAGTGGAATACTCATCAGAAACTAGTAAGCTGCAGCTCAACTCAGCGTGCAGCACGCTGGTTCTAGACCTAGCTGCAGCACAAGCGTCGCCAAGAACTCGCCAAACAAGATGATAAACCTTCGTTCAGCTGCTGACTCACACATGGCAGACATAAACCTTCAGTTTTGCTAACGCTGGTCGGCTGTCTGCGGCACAGCTTGAACAAGCATCACTTGTGTTTATCATCAGCATGATTCGGACCCGGTCGCATTTCTTGGAAGGGCGTCTGCTCAATGTTAACGCAACGAAGAACAGACTCGCTCATCGACCACATGATGAGATGACAGTCCAAGGCCTTGGTTGTTGCCGCCTGTTGGACATGTGTATGCTCTTCTTGCCAATGCTCCGACCATCTGCGCGGAAAATGCTTTTACCATCTTATTCTCATATGGAGTCCAACAACATTAGGGAAGCGAGCCTCATAAAACTTTCGTTGCAAGCCCAGGCTCGGAATAAAAGAGCAACAAGATGAAAAACTTGTAATTGAAGCAGCCAACGCAGTTGTAGATCCACGGGCAGTGATGGTCCATCTTCAGAATGCATGTGCCTAGCAAGCTGAGAACCCAAAACCTTTAGTCCTGTAGTCAGCTCAATGACTGCATAATGCAGTAGCTTCTGATAACAGTGGATAGGGACATCGAAGCTACTAAGCAGATCGTTTCCTTGCCTGACCGCTTGGCAACATCAACCAGTTCAACATGCTTTTTGCTGGCCCTGTGACCCTGTGAGCAGCCTACCTGACTCAAGAAGTGGTCGGATAATGTCACAACACGAGTGCATGTAACAAAGATCCCCAATCTCGGAGGGCCACGGTTCCGGGATATGTGGGGCTACATCTTTCTGCACAAGCCCGTGCGTATGATGTACTTCTCTGGGTTCTGCTTGCAGTCAAAGGACGGCAAACTCGGCAATGATGGCATCTGTCAGGCTTGTACTTCCCACACCACTTGCAGTGCCTGCGAGCCCCGAGCTGCTCAAGCATTCCTTATGTTTAACTGCGGCAGTGTATATCATGGTTTTGGTGCTGCGCGGCAGCGTCTCGCATCCACCACACTGTAATCATTTCTGCTGGGGCTAAAGCCATGGGCCTTCGCTCCCCGGATTTCTTGGTCTCCTGTAAGCTCAATGGTGCCAGCACGACCGACTTATCCCTGGGCATATACCTGAGCAAATGGTCAACACTATCCCTTGCACTGGCTTGTGGCATGTTAAACACACACTCCGTGTAACATCTTAAGCCTCTCTCCTGATGAAAACCATCGCGTGTATTTAGGATCTACATGGTCTTCTCGTGGTGTTTCCAGCTCTTGGCCATGCTGCTCCCATTTAGGATCATCAGGGATCTCGCCAGGATGCGTCAAAATGCTACGTACCTTGGCTTGAACGTTGACATGTAAGTCAAAGATGAAACCATGCCAAGAACAGTACAACGCTGATAGCTCCGGGTCATCTTAGTTTGACAAGGCACATAGCAGATCGCCAGCAACACCTTAGATCTGCAATGGAGAGCCACCGGACCTGATTTCCATAAACTCCTCGTATAGCCACAACTTGACTTTGCAAAAGGAACAACTCCTTTGCAACAAACTGCATCTTGCGCTCAAGTCGATGAACTGCCCTTTGATCAATTGAAACCCAAATCTCACAAGCCGAATGGCAGTGATGGGTACGAACATGCTCAACTGGATAAGGCCTTTCAGTGCAGCGTCAAAGAAGCTGCTTGTGTGTAAGCGTAAACTACCAAAATGATCTTGCTGTTTGTAGCCCATATCTCAATTATACTTTGCTTCTAGAGCCACAGTAAGCACCTACAGCTGGCAAAAGCACAACTTTGAAGACTAGGGCCAGCCTGCCGCTGCTCGAACGTGTGTGTTTCTGATGTGTGCAGTGGGAGATTCTGGCAAGCTAAAGGCATTCTGAATGTAGCTCGGGGAGGAAGCTCGCAAGTTCCAGTATGACACGTGAACCAGAACAAGCAGCCCGGGCAATCGGAATGACAATGCTCCCTACAGCGAACATCTTGGACATCTTGTTGGTATCGGTCATCTTAATAATACTCCCAATAGCACTCATATGTTGTTAGCATCATACAGAAAGGAACGACATGTTGATACACTGCCCACTTGCTGTTAAGCACGAGGCCAGCATCTCTTTTAAAGTGCGTGGGATAAACCTCATTGCTTTGATGGGCGCTGCTGTTACCAATTTACCTGGGGAAGCGAATTTAGGGGCTGAATTTCCCTGTGGAGAAGCTAAAGCACAATACACAAATCTTTTTTTTCTCCTCCGGAAGGCTTGACACGGTAACCCCAGGCCTCGGAGCTCACCTGCCGCTGCGGCATCAGGCATCTGACAGACAAGCACATTTGCCACAACACGCGCGCGCACACACACACACACACATGTGAGTTTGCGCGCGTGTGTGTGTGTGTGTACCGTTCTAGGCCATGAACGCAGGGGGTCACTCCCAACCTCATGC